TTAGTAAGCTGCTGCCCGGAAGTCCCAAATCCCGGGGGTGGACACAGTGAGTGGTCGCTGAAAAGCAAAGTGGATGAATGCTCGAGACTTGTCAACACGTCCCATATCACTGTGATAGGCGTTTTTGTTCTCAGTCTGAGTGTGAGGATATTGTGTTTCCCCAGGTAGAGTCAAGAACAGCAGAGTTAACAGGGAGAGGCTGGTTCACGGGGCTGAACAGCACAGTTCTGGGAAGAAACCTCAGAGCTTGTGCAGGGAAGTTTGGGGCAGCCAGCTGGAACACCTCACGCTTGAACCCTGCATCCCCCCCTCTTGCATCCTCTGCTTTCTGGGCTGGGTCTTTCTGGTGACCATCTTCTGACTTTTATGATCTCACTGCCTTTAATGATCTCACTTCTGGTTCCCTGCCTTGGTTTTGTTAGAGCCACCTGCCCCATGAGTAAGCTCCAATCCTGGGCCCCCGTGTGGGCGGGAGCCTTGGAAGGCAGGTCTGTTCTGTGGCCTCCCCTGGGAGACGCCGGGGGCAGGTCCTGGGGTCACCTCCCCAGGCCACGCTGCTTGAGCTTGGTCTCAGAATAAATGGAACTGTTGAATCACTCCACTGTACACCTGAAAGTAAAATAACACTTTATGTTAACTACACTGGAATTACAATTTCCTTTTCCACACATCCTCACCAACACTTGTTATTTCTTGTCTTTTTGATTCTAGCCATTCTGACAGGTGTGAGGTGATAGCTCATTGTAGTTTTGACTTGCATTTTTCTGATGAGTGCTGTTGAGCATCTTTTCATGTGTCTGTTGGCCATCTGTATGTCTTCTTTGGAGAAATGTCTATTCAGGTTTTCTGCCCATTTAAAAAAAGATTTTCATTTATTTATTTGACACAGAGAGAGATAGAGATAGAGAGAGAGTAAGAGAGAGAGCACAAGCAGGGGGAGGGACAGAGGGAGAAGAAGCAGCAGACTCCCTACTGAGTAGGGAGCCTGATGTGGGACTAGATCCCAGGACCCTGGAATCACGACCTGAGCTGAGGGCAGACGCTTAACCAACTGAGCCACCCCGGCACCCCTTCTGCCCATTTTTAAATTGGATTATTATTATTATTATTATTTTGGGTGTTGAGTTGTATAACTTCTTTGTATATTTCGGATATTAACTCAATGTCGGATATATCATTTGCAAATAACTTCTTAAGTATAAGTACCGTTCTTAAGTATAATTTTAAAATAAAGTAATGTCAAAGGACAATCTGAAAAGGAAAGCCGTAGTGATCGAATAATATGTTGTTAATAGAACACAAGCTATTCAGGTCAATGAGACAGAATACATAGCACAGAATTTGATCTTACTACATATAACTTAAGATACGATGAAAGAATCCTTTCAAATCTGCAGGACAGAGGGGAAAATATTACCCAGTGAACAGTTTTAGATGAACTGAATAGCATTTTGAAAAGAATAAATTTTGATCCCCCTTTAATTTTTAAAATATGTCCAGAAGATGAAAGTGTCACCTTAAAAAATAGGTAACTGCAAAAATTAGAAAAAAATTATTTTTTTTTTCACGGAAAAGGGGGTAATGATAACTTTCTAAACTGAAGACAGATTTCATGAAGAAAGATACACATTTGACTCTAGAAATTAAAAATTTTCTAAACATAAGAAAAACTTACCATAGTTTAAAGGTCAACCAAGAAGTGACAAAATATTTATTCCATAAGGAATTTCTACATATTGAAAAAAACAGTAGAGTCTGATAGATATTGGATAAAGGAAACAAAAAGACAATTCCCCCCAAATGAATTTAATAGTAAACAAACATATGGGAAAATATTAAATTTAATTTGCAGTTATAAGTGAAAATTAAAGATAGTTGCTATTTTCTCTCGTTACATTTGAAAATAAAGACTCTGATAATATTTAATGCTGGTGAGAGCACAGGGAACTGGTATTGGTGGGGGTGTGAACTGATACCATCCATTTGGAAAGTATTTGATCATGTTCATTAAGAGCCATGAAATTGTTTGTAACTGGAGGATTTGTTAGGTAATTTTATTGGGTATGGCTTCCATAGAGGGAAATGCATAAGTCATTAACTGTAGAGTTGGAAGAGATTTGCTAGATGCACACCCCCAGGCAATTCCCAGCCCATCGAGATATAAACATTGTCATCACCTGGGAATGCGCCCCCCCTTCCCCAGGATGCCCGCCCCCTCCTCCAACCTCCTCCCCTTGTTCTGCTTGTTGATGCCACGGATGATTTTTGCCTGTTCTAGAACTTCATACACATGGTGTCATACAGAATGTAGTTTTGTCTGGCTTCTTCTTCCTCAGTGCTTAAGAAGCTGTTTTAAAAGTCTTTTATGGCATATAATTATACACATATACTTATTTATAAATATTTCCATTTAAAAGTGTGAGTGCATATTCTTATAATATCCAGGCTTATTATATCTGTTTGATGAGCTAATAAGTACTCTCATTTCATTTTCTCTTACTTATCTAAGTTGTCTTTCAATAAGAAATAAAAATGAGAGACAGAAAGTACTTAAAATGCTGAAATTCCATGCTCCTCAGTCAGGCATCGGTGGTGTCCACAATGGGCAGGAATAAAGACGTGTGTGTGTGTATGTGTGTGTGTGAGTGTGTGGTCTGACACTTAGTGTGAGTCACTGTGAGTGTGTAAAGCACGTGATGTGAGTGAGCGTGTGGGTGTGTCTGCCCTGCTGGAGCTGGAGAGAAGAGCCAGAAGGATTCAGGGCTCCCCACGTTTCTCAACTCAGTCTGATCCATCCTGGGGTGCAGCAAACCTGCTTGGCCCGCTCTCCACTCTGCCCACCTTGGAGCAGGAAAGGAAGTGAGAGTGAGGAGGACCTCAGTCTGACGGTGTGGGGAAGGGCCCGGCTGTCTGTCCTTCTGCTTTTTAGTCTCCATGACAGCTACCCCTCAGGCTGTGTTGGCTACTGAGCCAACAGTCCTCCTGCTCACACATCCTGAGACGGTGACCAGGTCAGCTAGTGTCTCCGAAGCCCTCTCAGAGCTCCTGGGCCAAAAGGCTTTGTGGCCAGTGATGTTCGGAAAGGCTGAGAAATTGGGGATACACCAGAGATGTTGGCATGTCAGGGGTGCTGAGAAGTCCCGTGGGGAGGAGGCCTGTGGCACCTTCCTAGCAGGGCATTTCCTCCTGAGGACAGGAACCCCCTCCCAGTCCCCTCCACAGCACCTGCTACCCTCCCACAGTAGCAGCGCTCACCGAAGCCAGCGTGGGGGTGCTGACCCAGGACGCCAGCCTACCTCGGCCAGCACAGCGCAGGCTGGAAGCTTCCTCAGACACAAAGACAGGCCACATGGGAGCCCTATGAGCAGGCGACACTACGCCCATTTCACAGATAAGGGAACTGAGGCTCCAAGAGATGGGGAATCTTGCTCAGGTGCCCCCAGCTTGTCAGAGGCCTGCTTGCCTAGGACCCCACCCTCTTTCCTTCTCAGCAGAGGCTGAGTGGAGAGCAGGGCTATGAATGGGCTCAGGAAAGATAGAATAATTTAGAGAAAAAGGCCGGGCTGACCCTTGGCCCTCAGCCCATGATGGGATTCCCAGGCCATGGGAGGGGGTAGAGTTTCAGAGCGAACACTGAGGGGGGATGGAGGCCTGGGAGGTGCTGAGGGGACCGTGCCAGCTGGTCCTGGCTGGGTGGCTCTGCCATCTCAGCAGCTGGGGGTGAAAGACCCCAAAGGAGGTGGGAGGCGAGTTCTAGGCCCCGCAGTGCGGCCAGCAGCCCACGGGGCTGAGGTCAGGCCCCCTGCTCTCTGCACCCAGTCTCCTCCTCTGAGTGTGAAGGGGGAGGGTGAAGGGTGCCAGACAAAAAGATGGGATGCGCAGGGTAATGTGAGTGTCAGGTAAACAGTGCACACAGTTTAGTATGAGTATATTCCATGCAGTGTTTGGGACCTACTTACACGAAACAATTCTTCATGATTTATCTGACCCTGGATGCTAACTGGGCAGCCTGTATGTCTATTACAGACGAGGGCCAGTGACCTTCATGCACAGATGAGGAGTCAGAGCCCCGGGGAGCTGGGACTAGATCCCTGGCCAGGGCTCCCTTCCTTCCCACGGGCTATCTCTCCCTGTGGACCAGGTCACTGACAGGCTGGGCTGAACCTGGCTCTGAAGGAAAAGCCCGCCTCCATGGTGATGGTCAGAAGGCTGGTGAGGTGCTGGGGACCCAGGGAGTCGGCAGTGCTCATGCTTGGGGTTCACCACCCCGAGGTAGCAGGGCTGGAAGGAGCCATCAGCTTCCACGCTGAGCCACCTGGCTCGAAATCTGGCGGAATCTGGTAGTGCTCCGTGGGCTGCAATGGCTGGGGGGCGGAGCAGGGATCCGGGAGATGGCTGGTGGAGGGACCCCAGCTTAGCCACCTGGGAGAGGGGGGAGAGAAGGGGGAGGGGGTGGGATGCTCTATGGCCAAGGGCCCTACCTGAGCCCTGAGGCGCAGGGATTGCTCTTCCATTAGCAAATCCCGGGCAGGGTGGGGGCATCATGGTGGCTCCTGCCCTCCAGTTACTCCCCATCACTCAGCTCAGAAAGTTCTAGCAATGTGTGTGGGGGGAGGTGGAAGACAGTGTGGAACCTCAGAGGAACCCCTCCTCCCGTACTTCTCCACAAACTGGTGTTGGGGTTTGCGGTAAACCCAGTGACCTGGGGAGGTGGCCTACACGAGGAGCAGGACCCAGCAAGGTCACGATGTGAGGTGGCCAGCCTGCATAAAGGGGTTGTGGAGGGTGTCTCAGCAGCTGCCCCACCATGACGGCCTGGGCCCTCCTGCTCCTCGCCTCGGTGCTCCTGGCCACCCCAGGTAAGGACATTCCCCATGGAGATCCTGGCAACTCCTCCTTAGCTGAGGGTAGGGACAGTTCTGGAGAGTGGGCTGGACTGGACCACCTGACTGGAATTCTCTGGGGAAGGCAAGAGAAAAAGGAAAAAGAAAGACCTCAGAGAGGAGACGAGGGAAGGTTCCTTTTAGGTCTAATCTGTGTTGTGTGTGTGTGTGTGTGTGTGTGTGTGTGTATTTTTGGGAGAGGGAGAGAGAGAATAAAGACACACAGTAACAGAGACAGAAAAGGGGTTCATGGATGATGGTGGGGGGAGGTATAATCTTTTTCCTCCTGTTTTCCAGAAAGAACTAGAGAGCATGTCTTTGGCACACTGGGTCAGAGCAGTGCCAGGGCAGAGTGTGAGGATGGGCTTTCTGGACTCCTCACAAAGCCCTACCCCTGTCCTGGGCTCTGGCCACCTCCTGGGCTCCCCATGAGCCAGGAGATCTGACTTACCCTCTCCTTCCACCTGTGGAGGGATGCTGATGTTGTTTCTTCCCCAGGGCTGACCTTTTCTGGTCTGTCCCCTGAGGACCATGACCTGTCCATGGCTGACAAGTATGAGGAGGAGCAGTTCTTCGAGATCCTGGCCAAGGAGGCCTCCAAGGTTGGCAGCTCGCTCCCTGCTCACCTCCCACAGCACCCCCCGCCGCCCCTGTCGCCTCTCCACCTGGGTCTCCTCCCTGGGAGCACCAGGCAGGGCAGCTCTTCTATGCTGGTGGGAGACGAGGCAGGGCTGTGGGCTGAAGATGCTGATTTTGTGCACACCCCTGCATGGGTGGGGGCCATGTTGGTCTGGCTGGGCTCTCCCCAGCAGGGTCCTCCAGGGTCTGAGCAGACAACAGAAGAGGGGCAGGTGCTGAGCTGGGTAAGGGGCCGTGGGTGTGGGGCAGGGTCTGGGGTATGTCAGCCCCAGCAAGACTAGCAGGAGGGTGGCAGGGGCCAGCCAGCCTGCTTCAGGCCCTAAAGGACAGAAAGATCATAGATGATCCTGCTGGCTTAGGAGGTATGCAAGAGCCTCTTCCTGGGGTCCTGCCAAGGGCTGTTGGGGGTGTCTGAGGGATCACCTCAGGGGGCATCATTTTCTGACAGGGGGACCAGATGATCTTCACCTGTAAGCCTTGCAAGTTTATAATCAAGACGCTGAGAAAAATCCTGGGACACAATATCACGCAGGTGAGGCCTTATGGTTTGGGGAGCCATCTGCAGGGTGGTCAAGGGCATGAGTGGGGATTCAGAGGGTGGGGGCAGCACTGAGGGAGGGGCTGATCCCTGGTTGGGCCAGAGCTTCTCAGCAGGGGATCTGTGGGTCCCCCTCCTGTGCCTGGGGACTGACTTCAGAGAATCCCCTAAAATGGTGAAGCTCTGGGCACGTGAATGTGGGAAGAAGAATGTGCCTGGTTTCCCTTCCACTGTTAAAGGAAACTCGTCCCCAGAGAAGATAGAAAGCTTTCCCCTGTGGCCCCACTGCGTGTGTCCTCGGCAGAGCTTTGTGAGGCGGGTTCCAGGGGGCCCTGGGTCAGGACTGATCAACCCCAGATCTGCCACTTCCTAGCTGCATGGCTGGGCCCAGTCCTCATGCTTTCTGAGCCTCAATTTCCTCCCTGAAGAATGAGATGGATAATAATCCCAATCTTGCAAGTTGCCTAAGCCTTTTAAAGGAGCTGCGGGTGTGGGATGTGCTTAGCTCCCTGTCAGGCCCTGAGCGAGTGCTGAACAAGGGGATGTGTTTCTACCGAGAAGCCTTTTTCGCCCTCCCTCCCCCCCTTTGTTCCCTGATCCTGCTCAGCCCACCCTCAGCCCTGGGTGCTCAGCCGGTCCTTCTCCACTGGGATGGTAGTAGAAGATACTTCAACATCAAGCATGCCAAGGCTCCACGCTCTCTGCTACCCTAACCTTCCTGACACAGCCCTGAGCATGAGCCCCGCCAGGCCTGGGACCCAGGAAGCTTGGCAGGCAGAACCTTCAATGTGCGTCTAGCAGCCAAGGGCCCTGTTCTCCACACGGAAGGCAGGGGGCTGGGGTGATGATGTGCAGGGGACTGGGACACGACAGGGCGAACTCCTTCTCTCAACAGCTCCTCGTGACCAGGCTTGGGCTGGAGCCTGGGCATGAGGGTCAATGCCGGTCTCTCCAGCTTCTGCTTCCGTGGCCACCTGGCACCAGGTGCTACCCCGGCGTGCCCGCGGTCGGAGGTGCCCAGAGCCTCGAGCTGCCGGGGTCTGCGGGGGGCTGACCTGGGCAGAGCTCACCTGACTCCTATGTCTTTCTGTGGTGCTTTACTGCAGGAAGCCATCAAACAGGTTATGTCCAGGGTGTGCCGGAAGACACTTGCGCCCAAGACGTTATGTAATGAAATAGTCACTAAATATCTTCGTGCCATCACCCAGGGTCTCCTGAATGACAAATCCCCCCATGAAATCTGTGTGAAAATCAAGTTGTGCAGACCAGAAATAGGTGAGTGCAGAGGGGGCAGCAGGGACTCCTTGGTGGAGGGCCCAGGTCACGTCCCCGCGCATGCTGCTTTTCTCGCAGGCCATCCTGGGGTGACAGCAGGTCTCCGTCCGTGGTTGGCCGGGCACTTGAACAAGTAGCTTCACCTCTGGGAGCCTGAGTTTGCTTACCTGTGAATGGATAATAATCCCTATTTCTTCTTCTTTTTTTTTTAGGAATCATTTGTCTTTTTTTAAATCTAAATTCAATTAATTAACATATAATGTATACTTTTTTTCAGGGGTACCGGTCTGTGATTCATCAGTCTTATATAATACCCAGTGCTCATAACAATCCCTATTTCCTATTTCGAATAAGGATTGAATGGGATGATTATGCGTAAGGAGGTTGACACCAGGGAAGTGGTCTCAGACCAGGATACTCATAGACCTCGGAGCCCTGAGTGATCTCCCTTCCCCAGCCCTGCATGGGCTCCGGGGCCCGGGGGCCAGGCACCATCTTTGCCCAGGACATTCGGGGCCTGAGAGCTGGGCTCAGGAACCCCCTGGCAGGAGGGCTCTGCCATCTCTTCCTCCAGGGCTGCGCAGGACGTGCCCACAGTCAGGCCAGGGCTGCAGGCCATGGGGCAGGGAAGGGCTCCCTGAGTTGCTCTGGCAGCTCGTCTAGCCTTGGCTGAGGCTTTGGGACTTGATGCTGGCCAATCTGACTCACCCCGTACAGTGAGCTCCCCACCATTTCCTGTCACAGAGCCTGTGGTTTTCATCTCCAAAGCCCCACAACCCGCTCAGGCTCCTGACTGGGTTCCAGGATGTAACTCTGGGCGTGTTCAGTCGGGGCAGGTGGCTCTGAGTCCCCATGTCCCCCGGAGACCCCACACACCTGCCCACAGCAGACTCTTCTCTCCACTCCAGGTCTCGGGGCCTCCGGGGCCTTACCCCACCCTGGGAAGAAGCACAGACTCTTCAGCAACCATCGCCAGTTCCCGCCTTCCTAAATCCAGCGCGGACCCTCCAGTTTCCCTCAGGGAACCCTTTGCAGCGCCTTCCCCTGGCGGAGAATAAAATGTCATGCAAGCTTGTAGGCACAGCCTCTGTTCCTTTGGTGGATTTGAGGGGAGGGCCTCGGAGGCATGCTGGGGGGACTCACGCACTCATTCAGGAAATGTTTATTGTTTTTGTCCCGCTCTGTTCTAGAGGCTAGGGATTTCGTGGTGAACCAGACAACGTTAGCAGCTCTTACACAGATGGTCATGAAATACTTACGAAGCACTCGCTAGAGACACACACTCCTCTAAGAGCCTGGGGTACACAGTGAATATACCCCCAGAAGCTCTCAGACCCGCGGAGTGGGGAGCAGCAGGGTTGTAGTCAGGAGGGCCTTTGGTCATCAGGAACAGAAACCCATCTTTTGTTTCTCTCTGCAGGGAGCCCTTCTTTTTTCTGTTTTGGAGGAATGTATTACTTAGGGTTCTTTTGGTTGTGAGCAACAGGAATATTACCTTATCTGGTTTAAATTAAAAAAGGCAATTTATTGGCTGAAAAAATTAAGCAGTCCATAGATAGCACTAGGCATAGAATGATCCCGCAATTTGTGGGGTCACCAGAGCTCCAGTCCTGTAGCTCAGTCTTTCTCCTAGTTGCTCCCACCGCCGTATATGGAGGTTGACCTCAGGCTAGCCTCCTTCCGGGCAGCAGCAATGAGCACATCAGGTCCACCCTTTCCATTTTGTACCACGTGATCAAGAGGGAAAGAGAGTTCTTTGGTAGCCTCTCTCCGGTGGATCCTTTGGAAGAGGGTGGAAGCTTCGTGCCTAGAAGTCCGCTCAGACATCTCCTGTGTTCTCGTTAGCCCAAAAAGAGCAGGCGCCATCTGGAACCAAGCAGTATGTTCCAGGGGCATGGGCTACACTGATTAGCATGAGCCAAGCCAGGCATAGCCGTCCAGTTGAGAAGGGTTTAAAGTTCCCAATGACTTGGGTGAGAATGGATATGAATACCTGGGTGGAGATCATTCTGGGAGAGAGAAGGGCACGCCGGTCATCACAAGGAACACTGGTTCACTGGTCCAGGCTCAATTATAAAAGCAATTCAAGGACTCCCAGTGGTGAAATCTGGAGCCATTTGAGTTTCAAAATCGATAAAGACAACATCAGATTATAACCCATTGAGTAAATTAGAATCTGTGAATTTATAGAGATATTAATAATAAAAATAATTTTCAAGCAAAGGAAAGCTTTACCTTACTGTAGATGCCAACTAATACAAGTAGACACAGCTGCAAGATGTTTTCCCACAGAATATGTACTCACTTGATATGTGTGAATTCAGCAGGTATGGACAGTAAAGAACTGGAGAGAAGTGGGGCCGAGCTGGAGGCCATGTGAAGTTAGAGGTGGGTGTGTGTTTCCGGTATGTACATGCGCATGAGAGTGGTCCCAGCAGAGGAGAGAGGCTGATGGTGCAGGACAGAACCGAGGAACAGCCTCAGGGGAGGCCTTGAGAAGGGAGAGGATGGGTCTGGGGCACAATGCAGGGACTTCTAAAGGTGGGAGCATAAGAAGGTGGCCTCAGCCTAGGGGTAGAAGCCAACAAAGGACAGAGGCCAAGCCGGCTCTGGTCACCTGTCAGGAGGGGGCCTGAGTGCCCTGATGTCATAACACAGACTTTGGGGGGCACCTGCTCTCTTTCATAGGCAGTTCTCTTTTCTGTTTTTTCTTTCCCTTCTAATGGATCATTCTTTCTTATTGATTTGTATCTTGCAATTTTGGAGGGGAGATATTTTAGATAATATTGTGGCAAATCTGGCTATCGGTCACCGCACCCCCACCTTGCCATTGCTATTGGCCAGTTTACTTGTTTAGTGCCTGCAGAGTTAATTTGAGTGGCAGCCCATCACTGCCTCTCAGAGGAGGCCTCTGATGGTGGCTGTCCAGGGGAGTGGCCTTGAGCTTGCCCACAACTACCCTGTGTAGACAGGTGTTTGGGCGGGGCTCTCTGTCTGGTTCTCTAACACCCGCCGGTAAATCCCACAGCACTGTCTGCTTACTGTATTGTTTCCAACATGCCTCAGGGAATAAATTCTTTATGGTGGAATTCAATCAAATCAAAGTGTCTTTGTAAGGACAGTGCCTGAGGTCAGTGTTAGAGATGTGTTTTGACCAGGAGGACCTTTACTGTTGCCTCTTTCCCCATTTCTCTCCAGCAAATTAGCCTGCCTACGGTTTAGCCTATATTTTTAAGGGGGAATCTATCAATCTCCTAACAAATATCTTTCACCATGACCTCCACTGTTTTGAGAGCTCCCGGAAGCTTGCAGCTCCCTACAGTCTGTTGCAAATGGAGTCAGTTCTTTTAGGGAGGAGCGGAGCGCTCTGTTGGTGGCCTGCTTCTCCTTCCTGGGGGAATCGTAGAGCCAAGGCTCTGGGCTGGAGGTGGGGACAACAGATGCAGGCTGGCTGGGTCCGAGGACCCAGAACAGGTCCTGCAGGAACAGCCAAGAGAGTCCTCGGCTTCAGGCAGGATGGAAATCAATCTCAAGCTGAGAGGAAGTAGGCACAGAGTTTATTGAAGACAGAGCATCTTGGAGACTCAGAAAGAAAGGAACATGAGTCTTGTCTTTGCTTGGGATCTGGGGTTTTTATTGCGGACGGTGGTCTGGTGTACTGTCTTCCTAGGCATCCAGGAACTGGTCAAAACAAAGAGGAGTGTTTAGGTGTTCTCCGACAGCCCCCCACCCCCATCCCTTCTTAGATGTTAGCTATTGTGCTAGAAGACTCTATAAAGAAATCATTAAGTCCTTGACCTTTATAAGGAGGACACACATTACCTGCATGCACTATAGGCATGTATAGGGCAGCAGTTTAGGTCCTAGCAAGAACAGAGGCAGCAAGAGCCTTTCACGGGGTCCCTTCAGTTTCCCTGTCTCACAATGATGCCCTTCTCTCTGAGCGACACCCCCGCTCCGGTAGCTGAGTGCTCAGTGCATCTGGAGGCGGCGGCCCAGGCCTCCTAGGCCTGCCTGTCCTGGTGGGAATTCCTTGCCCATGAGCTTCCCACGAGGAAATAGGTTCAGTATTCTCGGCCCTGCCACGCTCCATGCAGAGCATCAGTCCCACCTGTAGGGTCTGAGCAGAAGACAGCCCCCACATCTTAGGTGCCCTTGCCTGAGACTTAGTCTCAGCAACAGGTAGCTGGGGGCAGAATGGCAAGTGCTTGTGTTTGTCTCTGCCAGGAAGATAGCCTGATGGCTGGGCTCTGGGAGGAGAGAGAGGCCTGGGTTTTTGTCTGTACCAGACAGGAGTAGAGTTTCCATCTGAGCTGCGGAGGGAAGCGAGAAGGTAGGTCTTGGTTCAAATACCACAGACTCCATGTAGTTCTTCCGGAGTTTTAGTAGATTTTCTTGAATAAATCTTTCCTTGTTTGCTCTATGCACTTAGTCAGATTCCAGAGAATTTAGATGGTTGTTTTAAAAACAATTTTCACCGGTTCCACTGGGTCATGGGTCCACGGAGCATCCCATACTGTCACGCCAGATGTGGACCTGCTTGATGTTTTCTTTTGACAAGTGTAACTTCAGAGAAACCAGAGAAGCCTGGTCATACAGCTTCGAATGTGTGTTGACTGTACAACTTCGAACCCGAGTTGGTGTTTAGTGTTTAGTGGCCTGATGCAATCGAAACCACATAAAAGCATAAAGTTGAACAAAAATCAAAATGGCTGCACTAATGCTTCAGGGAAGCTGGATTTTAAACTAAGTCACCTTTTTCCTCTTTTGCAAACCTCCCCTCCTCCCTTCTTGGCCTTTTGTTTCAGGAACCTGGTACCACCCTGAGGACATGATGAACCAGGCTGGCAGCAAGTACACGATTCCTGTCAAAACCAGCTAGATCCTGTATTTCCCCATTAACTCCGCTCCCCCCGCCCCCCGCCCCTTTCCTTCAGGCGGGCTTGCAGTTTTGAAGGCCACAGCCTGCTGCAGCCTCCTTTGCCGGGCAAAGCAATATAGCTGTTGTTCCTCTTTATCCTAAACTCTGTCTTTGCTTCACTATTTCGGCTCCAGAGCACAAGGTTGGCTTTTGCCGTACAATGGCAAGTCAGGGGTCACAGCAATGTGGGGGAACTGCGTTTTCAATTCTAGGTGCTTCCCACATATTGACCTGGAAGCCAGTTTTACAAATGTGGAGGCTGAAGCACAGAGAGATGAAAGGATATGTGGGAGGTCCAATAGCCTTGACAGATTTGGGATTTGAAGCTAGGCAGTTGTGTCTGTATCTCCACACAATCTTGCCTTTCTCCAAGGGATAGGGGTTTGAGTTCCATTTGTTAAAAAAGAGACAGCAGGCCCACGTCACCCAACCAAGATTTACCGCCTCATTTAATTCCAGTTTTAACCTCTCCCAGGAGTGGAAACTTAAACCAGTCCATCTGGAATTGGCTGGTCAGCACTACTGAGGGCGTCTGCCTGAGAGACCCCTGCCATCGCCCAAAGGAAAGTGACCTCGCCTAAAGTAATCCACTCTTAGCTAGTGACTTCTTTGTCCTGCCCTCTTCTACCTATAAAAGTCTTTTATTTCATACACCTCTTTGGAGCTCCTTTCTGTCTGCTAGATGGGATGCTGATTCATGAATTGTTGAATAAAATCAAGAAGATCTTTTTTTTTTTTTAAATAGTTGCAGAGGTAGAATTTAGTGATTTATCAGTTGCATAGAACACCCAGTGCTCATTACATCAAGTGCCCTCCTTAATGTCCGTCACCCAGTTACCCCATCCCCCCCCCACCTCCCTTCCAGCAACCCTGTTTTTTCCCTAGAGTTAAGAGTCTCTTATGGTTTGTCTCCCTCTCTGATTTTGTCTTATTTTTTTCCCTTTCCCTATGTTCATCTGTTTTGTTTCTTAAATTCCAAATATGAGTGAAATCATATGGTGTTTGTCTTTCTCTGACTGACTTACTTCCGCTTAGCATAATACACTCTAGTTCCCTCCATGTCATTGCAAACGGCAAGATTTCATTCTTTTGGATGGCTGTGTAATATTCCACTGCATATACATACCACATATTCTTTATCCTTTCATCTGCCGAT